TCTCACACCCACAATCATTCAACTCTAATAGCCTGCCCCATGGTCGCATGAGGCTTTGGAGGGGACACACAGACATAAACCATAACAGACATCACTTCAGGCTTGGATATGGTGGACTTGGGTATGATCTTGATCGGGGAGGGGCAGCTTCAGTGACCCACTGCCTGCAGCCAGTCCCATCTCCAGACAGCTTGTTCAGCTGTGAGCTCACAGGAGGTGAACCATTATGAAATTAGCACCTCCCCATCCAATCACCTCTCCACAAATCTCTTAATCAAATTGATAACTAGGATTCCTGTCACACACTGCAGGAGGCTGTCCCCGTGGCAGTACACACAAGGCAAACCCAAGAGAGAGGCTGCTCACATCCCCAGGCCCTCACAGGAGAGTGTTGGATGGCATAGAGAAGCATTTTTGTAGCACAGAATCTGATCTGCTTTTTAAAGACTTTTACAGAGAATTGAAGGAAAATATGCTCTATTTAAGGGAAAGGTTTGGCACCTCATGTCACTCACTCTTGCATAATCATTGGGATTGTTTTAATATTTGCCCAGTTGATCCAGCACAGGCAGATTTGCAAGGTAGAGGCACCGTGCAGGCCTTGGGTGTATGGAAATTTGAGAGGTTTCTGTCTGTATCTTCCTAGGAGACACTACGCAGAGCACTGATCACCATTTTTAAACAGTTAACTTCCTTTTGATTTGTATATTTTTGTGACCCATAATACATGCATTCATCTTTGGAAAGTGGTATTTATACAAATTCCATCTTGTTTATTTCATTCCCCCTTATCCCATTTTCCCCCTCTTCATCTTTTTCAGATCTTCCCATCTCCAGAATCTATCTTGCCATTTCCACTGTATCTCTTTCATTTTTCTCTTTAAATTATTATATTTTGGATCTCCTTCAGACACCACACAGCTCTCAATCACCACTAGGCATGTACCACAGGCTGTGCATTTGCAGTGCATGTGCCACTTAAAGCTTCCTCGCCTGCATGCTTACTTCTGTGATCTATGCTGAATGCTACCACCATGTGGAAGCCCATTTACAATGCAGAAAATTCAGAACAAGAAGCAAAGCACTGCTGTCCTTTCTCTTCTCCCTCCCTGCTAACTCCTGCACCATAGGCCAGCAGTGGCTGTGTGCATAGTGCTATCAAGTTGTATGCTACATTCATTCTCTCTCTCTCTCTCTCTCTCTCTCTCTCTCTCTCTCTCTCTCTCTC